GGATCTAGGTCACGTGCTCCTTATGAGAATCTAATGCCTGATAATCTAAGGTGGAACAGTTTCATCCCCAAACCATCATTTCCCCCAACTTCCCTGTCTGTTGAAAAATTGTCTTTCACGAAACCAGTCCCTGGTGCCAAAAAGGTTGGGGACCTCTGGTCTAGCACATGGTCAATACTCAGTAAATATTTGCTGGATGAATGCATGAATGCCCTCAGCTGATCTGAAGATCCTCCATTTGCCTTGATATACCCAGTGTCTGGCATTCAGGAGGTCCTCAAGAAATATATGAAAATCCGGCTGGGTATACACAGAAACCTGGGCTGTCTGCAGACTTTCCCCTTACCAGCGGGAAGGGTCTTGCTATGGATACTGACTCACCGTTCTCACTCAAGTACACAGGACGCCGCTAAGCAAACACTACTCAGTCACAGTGGAAGCACGTGGATAGACCGCTAGCTAGATACACTGAGATCAACACTGAACTTTCATGCAGAGCAGGGTCAATTACATGGTACGATTGGAGGAACCTATGAAAACAATCCCAAGCTAGAAACCTCTCTAATAAACCCATCATAATATCTAAAATGTCTGCCATTAAGAGCTCAGTGACTTCAGATGCCTCCAGGTATGCAACTCAAAGCTAGAGTGTATCTCAGGAGGGCCGCAGGTGTGGTTCTGTGTTGTCACTCAAGGCTGGCACCACAAGGGGCAGGCAGAGCCCTGGAGCCCACAGGTAGAGAGGAAATGGACTAGCCAGTCCTGTGCACTGCTTCTGTAAGAGCAGCCAGGGAGTCCAGGGCACAGGGTATATGGGAAGGACAAGGTCAAGCCCAGGGAAGGTTGAAACAAGTGTCAGGCTAGGGACAGCCATTCTAATAAGCTCAAGAGTTGAGACATCTGATGCTGATGCCGGAAACACTGAGCTGTGTTCCCAGAGCTTTGTTCTTTGCTCTTGCTGCGGCTAAGAGCACATAAAGCAGGAATCAAACCAAGGGAGGAGAGAAAAACAAAAACACTCCCAAGCTTAAAGGAAGGCTGGGGTAAAAGGCAGGGTTACCAGGCAGACAGTTAAGTGAGAATCATCGCAGATACCCAGACCCACAGCCAGGGCCAACACAGTGGAACAGGGAGTCCTGTGGCCCAGGAGTCACTCCTACCATGACTTAGGCTGAGTCCCACCAGATGGGGAGACTGGGCTGCCATCAACCTCCTTTCCAGATCCGGATTAGCTCAAGCACTGGAAGGAGCTTGTCAGTGCCGACAGGGCCCATGAGCAGTGGGAAGCCAGGCAGGCAGGCACAGGCTGCCTTCACCCAGACACAGCACTGTCCCTATCTCCTAAATGACCTGACAGGAGCCCAGAGAGGGTTTCCAGCTGATCTAATGTCTAGTATGTGACCTTGGCCAGAATGACACACCATGAAGTGTTCTTTCCACTGTGCCAAGGTGGATTAAGTCATTTTATCACCAGAATTCCTCTTTTAAAAGGTAAGAGTCTTCACAGGGTGAGAAAAACAATGATCCATTAACAACTTTAACAACTTAGACTTTTTTTTTTTAACAGAGATTGGGAATCTGCCAACCTAGGCAGATTCTGAGAGAATCAAAAGGCTTTAGCATGTTTTCATGTGTTTTGAGATTTGATGGGGGTGGGGTTTAGAAGAGTAGAGCTAAAGAACAACATACTGCTCAATTCTTCTCTAAAAAATGACACCCAGCACCTAAGTGAAAAGCTGCTAACCAGGATCAATCACCAAAATAAAGTCTCTGAGACAGCTCAAAATATCCAAATAAGACAACAAAAATTAAAACAACAAACCAATAAAGGAGAAACCAAGCATCTCTGGGAAGACAACCAGAAAACTTTAACAAAATAAAATCAGTTCATTCTTAGAGAAGGATCAACCTCTTGGCTAAAGAGAAGGCTATTCCTTCCCATTTGTTCTCAAGGCCTCCCAAAAGAAGACTACTGAATGCAAACAAATTAATCAGTAAGTATGATCAAAATGAGGAAAAGGTAAGAAGAGGTTAATGTGTACATACATGTATATAAGCACCACATTCTCCTAGAGTCCAGTTCCTCAAAACTCAAAGAGATCTTTACACAAATTGAAGTGGACTATTTTAAATCTTATTAAAATGGCTCTATTACAACAGTGGAGAAGCACGGGGGTCTTAGGCAGCAGGTTCTGGATTTCTTTTCCACAGGGACGTTAAATTGAAGGGATTTCAACTCTGATACTCTTCCCAGGATTTACAAAAGAAACCAAACCTAGGTTTCCAATTCAGTAAATACCAATTTGATTTTAGAATGAGAATACTGCCACCAAATTAATTACTTTAAACACACAAATAATATTTTAAGGTCTGACACAAGAGAAGTTGTTTAACTATCAAGTTTAAATGCATCATTTCTTCCATTTCTTCAATCCTTTCCTTCCCACATACATAAAAAACTATGTGAGTGTGTATATACACATATTACATGCATATATATATATATATATATCTCATGCACACATCTCTAGAACTTATGGTATACAGGATTTTCAATAACACATAAAGATTTTTAAAGTGATTTTTATGAGATAGAAAACTATAAAGTAAAGAAGTGAATGAATGATAAACTCCCAATTCAGGGCTTTTCACTGAGCGGGGTTGGGAATGAGATAGGCTTGGGAAGGAGTGCCCGGAGTTCTTAAAGGCCATCATAATATTATTTTTCTTAAACTGAGTAATGGAGAGATGGGTGTTCACTGTACCATTATTCTCTGTACCTTACTTATATTTTGTAATATTATTTAAAATATTCAATATTTAATAAATACAAGTCTTTTTAAATGAGTTTATGTGATTGTCGCTGTGGAAGGTATTCAAAGACATACATAAATCAAACCCTCACTTCAGAATGTTTTTTTCAATAGTAGTGTTACTCAATAAAAAGTAAAACAATTAAGATGACTGTACGAATTTGTTCCAGGGCCAACCTTCTACAGAAATAACAAATCTTGAGAGAAACCTACTTTTTCTAAATTTCTACACAGATATGCTCCATTTTTTCCCATTATGTACTGCTTCATTCTGTTTGCTTTTGTAAAAAACTATTTTTCCTCAGCTTCTATGTAACTTTCATCATTTTGTAAAAAAACACCTTAACTCTTTCTGTCTGAATGAATCCGAAGAAATAAAACTGGGGTTATACCTCTATGAATGACATACAATAGCATGATTTGTATCACCCAAAATGACCATAAAATTAGATTCAGTATTTTGATAGGAAAAGGCTTTCAGCTTGCCTGTTTTGTTGTTTCCAACTACGTGTTACCAGCAGAAACCTCTAAATCAGGAAAACACCAATAATTTTTTAACATTTCTCCAACTCCATGTTTTCTACTCTGAGTTCAATAAAGTCATAAAAACATCTTAGATACATTTTTGTTCAGATATGTGGAGTATTTCATTTTGTAAGGACAAACCAAGCAGTGAATTCCACTGGTCTTCAAAAGCCAGCTACTTCTAATATTTCAAAAAAGTCTAAAAGATACATTTACCTGTAACTAGCCCAAGCTAGAAACGAAAATATTTTTGCTTTTTCCACTGGAATCCTGCCAGGTCTTCCTAAAGTGAGCTGACTATCTCACGCTGATCAGATATTCAGACATATGTCAAAATATGAGGTCCGTGGAACAAAAACAGTAAAAGTGGCCTTATTATCAGTATTCATTCTTTTTAAATCAGTATTTAAAAAACAGCAACCACAAGGTCTGGGGCCCACTGAACTGGAATACTTCTATCACTGTAATCAGAAACCCCAGAGAACCCTGATTCTCTAACTTTGTTAAAAACGTGCAAGTCAACTTTCAATGACTTTTTTTTTCAATGTTTAAGTTCCGTTCTCTGCTCCTTCATCTTTGTAAAACAGAGTCAAGGGAGGTTAAGAAGCAGCAAGTGTTTCCGTATCACATATTCTTCCTGCTGTAAGCCAGGCTGACAGAACCAGAACTCTTGCTGTCTTCTCCAGCTTCTAATTCTCCCTCAAATCAAACTGAGACCCTCTCCAAACTATTGCCCTTCGTAAAATTAAAAACTCCAGTTGTCTGAACTAAGCTAAACTAAAAAGGACACTTTAAACGAATAACCTTTCAAAACAAACCAAGTCAGCCTTCAACGTAATTCCCTTTGGCCACACAGGACAGCCCAGGGGACAGGTGCAGGACATGCCTTCCTAGAGGCTATCTCCTCCTCCGTGAATCTGACCTTTTCCAGCTGGTAGCTCTGGCACCTCACAAATCAGTTGTCAGTAGGCCGAATGCCTGCTTTCCATCTGCGCTTTCCAAATGGCTCCTGATGCCAACGGCTGAGATATGACCTGGCTCTCTGATGAGAACATGCTTCCCAAGTGACATGCCAGGTTTCCCTGGAAGCATTCCTAAATGCATTCTCTGAGCCCCCTCCTTCACCTCCCAGTCACGGTTCATTCTTCCTTCCCGTCATTTCCTAATGCCACCTCTTGATCCTATGCCTCCAATATCATGTCCCTTCAGTCCCAACTCCTTACCCACTTTCATCAGCTACTGGCCCTTGTCCTGCCTTACATCTCAACTTCAAATCTAAAGGGCATAGTTCTGGCCAGGCATGGTGACTCATGCCTGTAATCCCAGCACTCTGGGAGCCTGCAGTGGGTGGATCACCTGAGGTCAGGAGTTCAAGACCAGCCTTGCCAACATGATGAAGCCCCATTACTACTAAAATTACAAAAATTGGCCCAGGCATGGTGGCACATGCCTGTATTCCCAGCTACTTAGGAGGCTGAGGCATGAGAACTGCTTGAACCCAGGAAGTGGATGCTGCAGTGAGCTGAGATCATGCCATTGCACTCCAGCCTAGGCAACAGAGCGAGGCTCTGTCTCAAAAACAAACCAACCAACAAACACAAAACCAAAGGGCATAGTTTCAACGTTTTGGAGCTGCTTCGAAGTGATCTTTCTGAGCCCTACCTGCAGGCAGGCTGGTCATGGCTTCTTCCCTTGCCTTCTTCAGCTTCTCCCTGACCCAGGGAAATTCCTGTAGGGAATCTAGGAATGTATCAAATGCTTTAGGGCCTCTGGAAGGTAGGATATCCAGCAGCAGCATTGTTTTCCGGAGGCCTGTGGTTTGAGCATTGATTTCTTGAACATGGTTTTCCGTCAAGACTCCTTCCTGGTAGAGGTACTGAAGAACCAGTCCCTCCACCAATACCTCTGCACCCAGCTCCAGGCGAAGTGAGCGGAGCACTTGTTTGTCTCTGGCCTCCATTTCTCCCTGGAAAGAGCCAAAATCACAGCTCAAATTACAGACATGCCGATGTGCCCTAACGACAGTGTCACTGAAATCTAAGTTCCTTCAGGTCAGGCATATCTTCAGACCGTAGCAGAGTGCCAGGCCATGGTATTTAATGCACGGGTGAAGCCAAGTTAATTCTGAATGTTTCCTAACAGAACGAACAACACCGATGATGAATCATCTTTTCTGTTTCTGCTTTTCACACAATGGGGTCCCAGCTCAATTCCTTGCTCAATAAAGAAATTTGGAAAAAGAAAAAAAAAAAAGTGGGTCAGAGACCCTTCTGAAAAAGCAATTTTTATCTGAAGATCACACAGCAGCATTAATGTTAACATGCTGGAGAAGAAATGGTGGTTTTAACATTGCTCTCATCAGACCTGCACCAGCACCACGGCGGAAACTGCCACGCTGGACGAAGGTGCCCTTTTGACCGCAAGTATCTGCAAAACCTGATCAGTAATAGGAGGGCAGGACAGAAATCAGCAGCAGGTACAGAGTTTAAGGCTCTTTTTGCTAAAAGTCCTCTACACCATCACCTTCAAGAAAAAGGTTGTTTTGTGCCCAGTCTACAATAAAACTTACACAATATACAGTCACAAACTCCATTCCTTCCCACTAAGAATTCAGAGTCTGTAGCACATTATCGTGGCCACACCTGCATGGGACATTTTATGGGATTTTTTTTCTCTAAAAAAAAGCTCACACCCAGCACTGGTCAGTAGCCAGGCACGATTTGAAGGTGCAGTTCCACCACCCCTGCACCAGTGAGCTGTGGCTTGGTTGTGTGTGAGGCAGTGAAGAATAAATGACAGGGAAGGGAGGTACGGATGACACATGCGGCTTCAGACACCCCCAGGCAGTACTACTGCTGGGCGACACCCAATCCCACACTCCCCCTGGCAACCCTGTGAAGTTCGGGAGGTGACAGGTGAAGAAGGGAGGTGTTCACATTTGGCTGTGAGCTCCCATTGGTAACTTTTTAAAAATTCTCTGCCTCAGCCGCTGAAACCCTTGTATCAAAGAAGAAGAACTATGGGCGGTTTCTCTGGCAACTCGACCCGCTAAAGAGGGAGTGCTGGGAATAAACTTAAGAGCGGACCGAGGGGAGAGCGGGCCTCCGGCACTGCCGCAGCCACCCAGCCTTGGCCCGGATCGGAAATGGGGAGCAAGTTAGAGGGGCGGGGAAGCCTCCGCAGGCCCAGGTCGCAGATGTTACAGTGCAGGATTTTCAAGAAAAAATGGATTCCTGTTACTTACGTCTGCAACCACGTATCTTTGGGGCGGGGGGAGAAAAACTGCAACCGGAATCCTGATTGTTAGGGAACCTGCATCGTAAGCACCATCTTTGTTAAAGGCGAAAGCCTTAAACAGGAAGTGTTGACGCCATCTTTGTTGAGGGCAAGCACAGGAAGTGCTGTCGCCATTTTTATTGAGCGTTCAAGGGTCGGATTGAAGCTCTTCCCGCCATGTTTACTGTGGGTAAACATTCAATCGCGGGGAGCTGGACAACAGTAGCATCACTTAGAGGGTCTAAGTAATGGAGTAATTGGATCTTTGCATTTTAACACAGTAACTCCATCAGGGCCTTGCATACAATTGACATGACAGAGAGTCAGGTCAAAAATCACCCTAGGAGAGAAGCCGTCTCTGACCTATCTGATTAAAACGGCAACACAGCCGCCCTCATCTCCTGCACTCCCCATTCTCTTAACCAACTTTACTTTTTACATATCACCATCTTACTAAAACTTTTCACTTACTCATTTGTTTATCCCTCTGCTTCCCTCCATTAAAATGCAAGTTCATTTCTTTATATCAAGGGTTCCTGCCCATGAAGAGTTTACAAATCTGTCGGTCAGGATTTCATTGCAGTACTCAGCTAGTTAGTTACTCCTAGTCAGAGAGGGATTTGTCAGTGGGGATTGGAGACATTAGAGATCATTGGAAAGGCTGGAGAAGGGCTGAATATCCACAGATGACTATCTGGATAAGAGTGCCATACTGGCTCCTGCCCACAATCACGAAGATGGCGTCAGGAAGTTGCCATGCCTTGTCCCCAACTTCCTCTCAACACCCGACAGAACAATTAACAGGACACTGGAACACTGCTGCAAAACACCATGGTCTCGACAGCTGCATTTGCCAGCAGCATGAAAACAGGACCTGCAAATCTTGTTCTGTTGTGTGCAATTGGTGAGACGAATATCACATGCAGAATATTAGCAGCAAGGTTGTCTAGAGCGTGTAGCTTTCCAGCTTGTGAAACACAAAAAGGTAAACTAAACGAGGGAAAGGCTGATACTAAAGGCCAATCTACTGCATCCACCACATTTTCAATTTGGAAAGCAAGACAAAATGCATGACCCAAATATAGAGAAACACAGGGATGTCAAATTGAGTGTCCTTCCTCACATTCCTTTGTGAAGTGGTGCAGTCAATCAATAAATACATTCATTGGTTCATTTTAAAACCAATTGGATGATACATACAGAAAGTCATATGCTTACTAAAACTTAATTGACAGTACAGGGGAAAAAAACTCCTAAAATGTTATTTCTGCCAAAGTTTTCACAGCTAAAACCTTTAGTGGAAAATGAAAATGCCTTTGTAAGCAAATCAGTGGAGAACAGTTCTGAACCTCCCTCCTCAAAACCTTCTAAAATTGTATTCAATTTACAGTGTTACTACGCCAGTTACCATTTTACTACACTATTAATGACAGTATTTTTACCATGTAGTGAGTATTATTACAGTCATTCATTGCATAACAACATTTGGGTCAATAACAGACTCCATATATGACAGTGGTCAGAGCAATAGGCTATGCTCTGTGGCCTAAGTATGTAGTAGGCTATACCATCTAGGTTTGTATAAGTACACCCTATTTTGTTTGCACAATGATGCATTTCTCACAATGTATCTTCATTGATATAACTGTATTAGCATTTTGCATGTGTAAAGACTGTGGAATCAGAATGGTCAATTGGCTTAGCCAAAATCTCACAGCTAATGTAGAGCAAAACTTGAATTCTAATGAAGTGACTCTGATTTCATGCTCTTTCCAGTACTCCAAACAACCCTGTATAGTGAAGTTTTTTTGTTCTAATGATAGCCAAATCACCCTGTTGCCACCTCCTATTCTTGATACTCTTGAGCTCCAGGTGCTCTCTTTTCTCTCTCCCTTTTCCTCTTTTGCTTGAGAATCATTGTCTTTTCCTCAGCAAGATTTCCCATCTGTACATAGACAAGTGTTAGCGACATTCTTTGTCTTCATCCAGATAAAGTGCAGACTGCTTGCAACATTGCCAAGCGTCGAGGTTTACAGGTTGAACATCCCTAATCCAAAAATTTGAAATCCAGAATGCTCCAAAACCTGGCTGGGAGTGGTGGCTCACACCTGTAATCCCAACACTTTGGAAAGCCAAGCAAGGCAGATCATTTGAACCCAGGAGTTCAGGCCTAGCCTGGGCAACATAGTAAGATCCCATCTCTACAAAAAATACAAAAAATTAGCCAGGCATGGTTGTGTATGCCTGTAGTCCCAGCTTCTCAGGAGGCTGAAGTGGAGAATCGATTGAACCCACGAGGTGGAGGTTGCAGTGAAACAAGATCATGCCGCTGCACTCCGGCCTGGGCAACAGAGAGAGACCCTGTCTCAGAAAAAAAAAAAAAAAAAAAGAAATGCTCCAAAACCTGACACTTCTGAGTGTCAACAGGATGCCACAAGTGGAAAATCCCACACTTGACCTTGGGTGAGGAGTCTCAGTCAAAACACAAACCTTTGCTTCATGTGCAAAATTATTTAAAATATTGTATAAAATTCTTTTCAGGCTCTGTGTATAAAGTATACATGAAACATAAGTTTTGTGTTTAAACTTGGATCCCATCCCCAAGTTTATTATGTATATGCAAACATTTCAAAATCCAAAAAAAAAAATTCAAAATCCAAAACACTTCTGGTCCCAAGCATTTTGGATAAGGGATATTCAACTCATACTAACTTTTTTGGAGAGGAAAAACAAGTGGATTTTTTTCTAACTATAAACTTGATAATTTTCGAACGTAATAGGAAAGTTGAAACAAATAGCACAATAAACGCCCATATAAAGTTTCCTATTTCTTGATGACTCATCATATTTGGAAAGACATGCCATCTCCTAGGAGCTAGAAGGTGAGCCTTGATGATGGTGCCCAGAAGGAGGTGGGGAGCCAACAGTAGGCTCTGCGAGAGTTCACTGAAGAGAATCAGCAAGAGATAGCAGGAGAGTGTCAGGGCAGCAACCAAGGGGCGTGGCGTCCTGCAGCAAACAACCTGAGAGGCTGGGCATTAAAGATCTGACTCTTAAATCCACAACATGAAGCCTTTGACCATCACATTCCTCTTCCCATGGCAAATACAGATGAGTATCCATGCTGTCTTTTTAAGCAACTAGGCTGAACAACTAGCCCACTCCCATCAGCCACCCCACCTTAGCATACAGCGATACTTCGTGGCAGCACACGAAAGACCCAGCTTCACGAAGACAGATTAGCCAAGACCAGAGGGCTTCTAAGGAATGAACACAGATCAGCATCATTATAACAGGTGGTTACTCCTCCGCTCTGGCCAGCGCCTCTCTGTAGTCTGGAATTGTGTCCCCACAGAGGATTAAGCACCTGTTGCCCAATGGTAACAAATCCATCTTCCGAAGGACAGATATTTTCATTTTCTCTCTCCCCTAGTATGTTTACTTGTGTCAAGATATCCCTATTGTGAGTGTGCAAAAGAAAGAGTCAGAAAGAACAAATGTAGTATTATTCTCTTTCAATTGGGTCTTTGGTTTTGCAGCCTTCACAAAATAAATCAAAGGAATTGGATGTTTTGGTTCTTCCTGTTTCATTGACGTAGAAATTAAGTCATGGGGAAAAACAATCTTTTCAAGCATGGTTGAAACATTTATTAAAATAGATCATAAATCAGATCACAAAGAAGTGTTAACAAATTCCTAAAAATCAAAAGCATATAAACTATGTACTCTATAATTATACAGTAAAATTAGGAATTCTGACAAAAGGATCGCTTCCATAAATTCCATAAATTTGGAAACTAAATAAAACAATTCCTAAACCCTTGTGTTTAAAAAAAAAAAAAGGTCACACATGTATACCTAATAAAATATAAAAAGAAAGAAAAAGAAACTTTATATTAGAGAAATCTGGCAAACATCACCTTACCAAGTGATCAAGGGTAAACATCCCCAGTAATGAGTCATGGAGTTATCATGTGCTTCAATACGATGTCACAAGAAGGGCATATCTCCTTTGTGATATTCTCCTTCAAAATTCATAACCTCAGTCTTTTTGTAAGAAAACATCAAACAAACTCAAACTGAGAGACATTCTATTAGGTTGGTGCAAAAGTAATTGTGGTTTTTGCCATTACAAAATATCTGACAAGTACTCTTCAAAAGTGTCAAGGTCATGAAAGACAAGGAAAGCTGGAGAAACTGTTACAGATTGAAAGAGATAAAGAGGTGTGACAACTCGAGGAAGGGAAGGAGCAAGAGAAGGAGAATGAAAGGAGAAAGAAGGAGAGACGGAAATCCATAAAGGTCTGCCAATAGTCAGGAAGAAATGAAAACTTCTGGGCCTAGATTCCTATTCCCCATTTTATCTTATCTTCCCACACCCCCCACCCCGCTCTTGTTGCCCAGGCTGGAGTGCAATGGTGCAATCTTTGCTCACTGCAACCTCCGCCTCCCAGGTTCAAGCAATTCTCCTGCCTCAGCCTCCCAAGTAGCTGGTATTACAGGCATACGCCACCTCACCTGGTTAATTTTGTATTTTTAGTAGTGACAGAGTTTCTCCATGTTGATCAGGCTGGTCTCAAATCCCCAACCTTAGGTGATCCGCCTGCCTCAGTATCCCAAAGAACTTGGATGACAGCGTGAGCCACCACGCCTGGCCTATCTTAGCTATTTTCTTGACATGCAGCATAGAATTTCATATGGTCTCTATTCCCTGGACCAACCCTCCCCAAAAAGAGATAAAACAGGAATTTTTCAAAAGAAATACAGACATCTAACAAAAAAAAACAGAAAGAAAAAAATACAGACATCTATCCCTGTAACTGTAAATCCTTAAAAAAAAAACTCACTTGGAATATGCAAGTGTTGCCTCTTTCTGTATAACTTTTGATTAAGATATTAGGCTGTAGATAATACCATCTACATTAATAAATTATTATTTTACTAAGTTATGAATTCTAATAATGCATTCAATTTTTTGCTATCTAATATTCGTCTTAATTACTGTTTGTTGTAAAAATCCTGAGACTATTTACAAAAACCTTTTAAAAGAGCCAAATACATTATTATGCATATTATCATGCACTAATTTTTTTTTTTTTTTTTTTTTTGAGACAGTGTC